AGCTCAGAGCCGACCAGGATGGGCGGGAAGCTTGGCTTCCTCCATCACTGGAGCAACCAAGCCTCCTGCTCGCTCCTGCTCGCTCCTGCTCGCTCCAGCTCTGTGGCTGCCGGCCGCCATTTCCATGGCCACGACCAGCTGAAAGCAGGTATCTGGGGTTTATTTATCTTCTATAATTGAAACTTTGTTGCCTTCAGGGAGCTCAGAGCCGACCAGGATGGGCGGGAAGCTTGGCTTCCTCCATCACTGGAGCAACCAAGCCTCCTGCTCGCTCCTGCTCGCTCCAGCTCTGTGGCTGCCGGCCGCCATCTTAGTTGGGTTAATTTGCATATAGTCACTCTGATTGGCTGGTGGGCATGGCTTAAGGCGTAGTGAAGGTCCGGTCAATTTGCATGTTTGTCTTTTATTAGATATCATCCCAGTAAATTCAAATTTTAAAAAAGGAAACAGAATAATAATTAAAAAAGAATACCCACCTCATCTATTTTTTCTGCATTGGAAGAAGAAAAAAATCTACCTTACCAGATATCAAGTACACAAATTTTAGAGCTCCTGAGCATTAATGAATCATAAGTCTATACAAATCACAAATATATCTTCTAATGAGATAATTATTTGTTGCCAAATTAAGAAATGCCACACTTACTTCTTACTTGAAGTGTCATAGAGAATGATTCTTTTATCCAAGCCTATGGTTACAAACAACAATTCATTGACAGGAGAAAAGCAGATGCCTGAAGCTGGAGCTTTATGAGTACTATCAAAGTTATGGTGAGGACTCTGACTATTCACATCCCAAAGAGTTACTACTCCGTTATCCGAAACACTGCCCAGCAGCGATTTCTTAAATAAGGAGTACTTCAAGTGCCGAATAGGCTATAAAAAGAAGAATAAATTTTATGTAATTGTAAGCATTCATAAGAACGTTTTATATAAACTATATAAATAACAGCCAACCACAGACACAGCACTCACACAGGATTTAGGACTTTTCTGGTTTAGAGACTAACAGGTTTCAATCAATACCATAAAATCATTTAGTGGGCTACATAAGATGATCCCAAGACATACCAATATTCTAGTAATTGAATATTTGTCATGATATTACTAACTTGGAGTACAGCTAACTCAATCTCCTCTTTTTTTCCATAGGAAAAAAAAACACAATACATTGATTCATTAGGGTTAGAATATCCCTAAATAAAAGGCCCAGTCACAGCCAAATCACAAATAAGTATAAGGAAACACTAGCAGAGAATAAGAAATATTTGTATTTAAAACATATTTTAGATATTTATATATTTGTTTGATTCTGAGCATCTGATTGTGCTAGAACAGCGATTCCCCAAAGTGGGTGCTACCGCCCCCTGGTGGGCACTGCAGCGATCCAGGGGGGCGGTGATGGCCACAGGTGAATTTGTTTTAACTTTTTTTGTATTACCTTTCTATTCTGAGTTCAATAAATAGTTTCATAATTTCAAACTTCAATGTTTCTAATTTACACCTTTCTTTACTAGGTTAGAATATCCCTAAATAAAAGGCCCAGTCACAGCCAAATCACAAATAAGTATAAGGAAACACTAGCAGAGAATAAGAAATATTTGTATTTAAAACCTATTTTAGATATTTATATATTTGTTTGAGTCTGAGCATCTGATTGTGCTAGAAATTCAACAACTAAAGCATAATGAAAAATCAACTAAACCACAAAGGATGAAGAGTCAATACTCTGGACTAGGCATGGAGAAAGCCTTTGGTCATCTAAGGAGATATATAATATCTCTCCCCTGAAGTTCTATATTAGCCTATTAAAATCTTTGTTATCTCTAATTTTAGTATTCATCCATTCCCATGTTATTGAGGATCTTTTCAACGTAAGCCACAAAGTTGGACAATGGTTGAGGACAAAGAAAACACGATATGGTTCCAACTAGAATGTAGGCATGTAAAGAGTTAACTCTAATACAAAAGTTAGAATGAAGTGATTGGCAAGGAGGCCAGTTTATATCATAGTAAAAATAAACAATTAATTAAGTCTCACACCCAGCTGAAGTCCTTCCTCCATTAATATTCCCCATTTTATTCCTAATCAGATAATTCTATCTCACTGTTCTGAATCTCCATAAGTTTTTTATCAATCACCCATATTGTCATTTATATGTATCTCTTTTATTCCCCCAATACAAATTGAACTTGAAAAAATGCACTTTTCAATGCATTTTTAATATCCAATATATTTTCCTTAAACATTAAATATATACTACTCAATATAATGATTTAAAAAACTGCTTTTCAAAAGTGAGGGACTCCCATCTTTTATCTAATAATAATTACGGCCACAGTGATTATAATTAAAAGTAAGAATGGAAAGAAGATGCACCTTATCAGAAATTTCTGTGGAGAAATTCAATGGAAAGTTAGTAAAAAATTAGATTACTTGAGAAATTAAATGTATTAAGAATTTTATAGACTAATTTTCTTGAAGAAAAAATTTGGCTAATATCTATAATAATAAAAGCGTAATATGCTAATTAGACCAGATGACCTTCTGAACAAAGCCAGGGCTGTGAGGGAAACCTTAATGAATCGTAATGTAAATATCTGATATGCAGGATGGTTTTAGGCGACCTCTGTGAAAGGGTCGTTCGACTGCCAAAGGGGTCGCGACCCACAGGTTGAGAACCGCTGCTCTAGTTCCTTCATAAAAAGTTTCCTGCCCTAACCAGTTTGGCTCAGTGGACAGAGTGTCGGCCTGCGGACTCAAGGGTCCCAGGTCTGATTCCGGTCAAGGGCATGTACCTTGGTTGTGGGCACATACCCAGTAGGGAGCGTGCAGGAGGCAGCTGATCGATGTTTCTCTCTCATCAATGTTTTTCTATCCCTCTCCCTTCCTCTCTGTAAAAAATCAATAAAATATATTTTAAAAAAAAGTTTCCTTACAACCCTCCTCAGTGTAGCTTAGTGGTTGGAGTGTCAGTCCAGGCACCGAAGGTTCTCAGGTTCGATTCCCTGTTAGGGGCACATACCTGGGCTGCAGGTTCAATCCCTAGCCCCAGTTGGGGCACGTGTGGGAGGCAACCAATGAATGTGTCTCTCTCATATTCAATGTTTCTCTCTCTCTCTCTCTCTCTCTCTCTCTCTCTCTCTCTCTCTCCCCCCTCTCTTTCTCTTCCTCTTTCTCTCCCCCTCTCTTCTTCCCTCTCTTCCACTCTCTCTAAAATAACAATGGAAAAAATATCCTCGGGTGAGGATTAACAACAACAAAACATTTCCCTACATACTCCTGGTATTAACCTGGTAGCAATACATGAACTATGATATACTTATAGTAACCAAAAAAACAAAACTCCATATATCCTGTGCCTAAACACACTCAATTATCACATTCCCATCAGAGTACTTAATGTACCTGTCCTGTAGCTAACATAATTTGAGCTATGCAACACTTCTATAACTGTAATGTCTATAGAAAGATTAATATTCATGTTTTGAGCTTAACCTGTTAACAGTATTTGTATTTTGTTATATATAGTTATAATCTAGAAGCATGTTATATTCAATGGCCTAATTGAACTCAATAAAGTAAGTATACTCAATCTAGTATGAATTAGCTTATTTTCAATCAAGCTTATTTTAAATACTTAATTTTAAAAACTTAAAACTCATTGGTTTATATAAGAGTTCAAAATCTATCTTATCAATTTTATTTTGAATAAACCCATACTTACCTGGCTACTACCATGACCAAAAGGAGTAGTAGAAATATTAGTGGTTACACTGTGCAAAATAATTTCACCACTGAGAGATCCAGAAGCAACGTAGCAATCATTCCAATTATATGTTACACAAGTTACTTCATCTTTATGATCCTGAAAGAAAAAAATGAAATACAGTGCCATAAAACCTTCAGAAAGCATATTTTCATGTTTTTGCAAATTTTGTGTTTTATAAATATTATCCATTTGTCAATCTAATATTTCCTTTAACATTTTCCTCAAATTTTAAAAATTACTCAAATAAGCAGAAAACTATCTGATCAACACCAAGTCTTCTCAGGGAACAGAGATCTATTTTTCATAACTATAATAAAGCTCAGGCACCCTGAAACGAGAGACAGACTAGAAAGGTAATTTTCTAAATGGCAATATGTCTCCCTTACAGAATTCACTTCCACTGACAAGTAACATTTATTGCGAGTTGACTATCAGGAGCGTCCCTGCCCTTGAAAGTATTACTGTTCAATTGAGAAGACAGGACATTTAAATTAACACGAAAATGGCAGAACAAAGCTAAGTGAGTGGTGGTAGAGGCAAAGTGTCAAGACAAAAGAGGAAGAGGCATCACTGTGAATTGAGTTGACAGAAGAAGCTTCATGCAAGACATAAAGTTGGAGTTCAACCTTAAAGAAAGGAGAAGAGCTAAACTAGGGGAAGTAAACCAGACCCTGCAAAATGGAAAAGAGTAAGAAACAAAAGCCCCAAAGCCAGAAGGGCAAGGTATGTTTGAGAGATGACAGCAGCTGCTTCCCTTTGTCAAGTACCTACTGACGCTGGGAGCTTGATATATTATTATTGTTATTTATTTATTTAAATCCTCACCAGAGGACATTTTCATTGATTTTATTTATTTATTTATTTATTTATTATGACCTTTAGGTGTACACGACACTCCTACCAACTGAGGCACACCACCCAGAGCCATATATCATTATTAATCCATAGAACAATCTGGGAGAAAATGTCAGTTTTTCCCATTTTACAGGTGAGTTGACTAAATGGCACAGAAAGGTTAAGAAACCTGTGCAAGCTCACATAACTGCTAAGTGACAAAGCCGGGATTCAATTCCAGGTCAAACCCAAAAGCCTATTTGCCTCCCTCTATATTAGGCTGTCTCCCAAATCCAAAGGGGAATCCACTTGGAAACAATAAAACTGGTTTTGAACAAACTGAGTTCACAAGGACGTTTTCCAACATCAAGTCAGAAATCTAGCAGGAACACAGAAAAGGGATCAGGATTAGGAGTCTAGTTTTTTACAGTTTGGTGCCATACATTACTAATATAAACAAACTAACCTTTGTATCTAATAATCAGATTAATATAATGCCAAGAATAGTAACTATACTATGCCACTATTATATTACACTTTTTATATTGTAATAACTATTACATAACCTTTTCAAATGGTCCTCCAAGCATGTTTGGAAATGTCTCTACATTTTATTCCTTTTCTAAATCAAAGAAACAATATCTGATGAGAAGAAAAAGGACATTTAGGGCATTGTTCCCATCTAAGAAGTTAAGAATATGAGGTCCAATACAATATCTATGACTTTGTAAAGAAACAGAATCTTTATTTTCCCTAACAAATCTCACTTCAATGCTGAAGCATCTTACTTTTATTATAAAAGCTCAACATTAAAAGTTTGGTAACTAAGCACATTGTGAGATAACCATTTCTGTAACATTACAAAACAACAACACCCAAGTTCCTTACCTTAAGAGATCGATGAACTCTTTTTGATTTTAAATCCCAAATATTAACAGTGTTATTCAGGCCTCCGCTTACCAAATACATAGATGTGGAATTTAAACTGACACATGTCTGCTTTTGCTATTAAAGAAAAAGAAAGTTACCTTAACTTAACAGAGCCCAGAGATGACTTTTAAGTCTTATTCAGTACTTAGCAAGCACTTAATAAATATTTGTTGAATTAAATGTTATAAACATGCTAATACTTATACTAAAGATTCACCTCTAATCTTCCACATGGATCCGATAGCTTGTAAGGAGTTAAAAAAGACTTCAAGAAATCAACCAGATTCATGTTCTCTGCCATACACAGAGGTGACAGAGGAAGCTTAGAAAATACCAGCAAGTCTTGGCCTCCCATCAGGGCTTACCTGCCTGTAATATCTCCCCTACTAAAGCCTGCTCTTACATTTCCGCAGGATGCCCTGAATTACAATCAAACCACAGCTCAGAAAATACTAATGGTAGAGAAGACTTTCAAGGATGTGTCTGTCCCTCATTTTACAGATAAGGAAAGTTTTCCATCGAGGACAAGATATTTGCCCAAAGTCTCATGGCAAATCTCCCCTTAAGAAATCCAATTCTTAAACATTGAGTCATCAGAACTTGACTCTACATTCTTTCCCATGTATGTAAAGACACCATCCATCCACCCAGTTTTTCAAGATAAAATTCCAGAAATTCGCCTTGATTCCTCGTTCTGCCTGCCCCAAGTCTACCATAAATTCTCTAAACTCCGACCCTAAAATAAATCCCAGCTGGCCCTCCCAGTATCCAGCACTACTTCCAGCACTCTAATCCAAACCCTGTGGAACCACAACAGCAGCCTCTTAACTGGCTGTCCTGCTTCTACTCGTGCGCATTCTGTTCTCCATAAGTAGGGTGATCTTTAAAAAATGTTAATCTGATAATATCTCTCCCATTTAAAAATCTTCAATGGCTTCTAATCAACCCTAGAATAAATTCCAGACTCATTAACCTGGCTTTCAAAGCCCTATCTATTCATCTGGCCCCTTCCTACCTTATCTCGCATTTTCCTCTTCACCCACTAATTCTCCAGCCACAATGACCTTCTTGCATTCCTTAAAAATAATTCTATATTGTCCTCAAGGCTTCAACAACAGCTATTCTTGCCCCGAACTTTGGCTGAACAGCTTTTTCTGGTCAACAGACAGCACCTTAAATGCCATCTCTTCAGGGGTACTCCCTTGGCCACCTAAGGTAACTTGCTATCTCAATATCTTAACTATTTTAGTTCTCGACACAACAACTTATCACTATCTGGGTATTCTGTTTCCTAGTTTACTATCTGCCTTCCACCAGATTGTCAGTTTCTTTAAGAGCAAAGACCATATCCATGCTCAATATATATTTATAACATAAATGGCTAAAAATACAGAAGCTACCAAGTTTTTCTCACAATAATTATCTGAGTGTCATCTACCTGGTGGTGCCCATCCGTCAGAAGCATGTATTTTCCTATTTAACCTTCAGGTACAATACGTAGTTACATTAATGTTCTTACCTCCAGTTGAATGCTATGGGGAAAAAATGGAGAAATAATTCCAAAGGGGAAATATTTGTGACTTAGGTAAAATCTAAAGGCAAAACATGCAGGTTTAGGCAAGTCATCTCACCTTTATCAGCCTATGTTTCTTCATCTGAGAAATAAGAAATGAGGACTAGAACTACTGTTCCTACCTTGAGAGTCCACGCATCTCAAAAACATCCTCTACTCAAGAGAGCACCAGATTCTTAAAAAGCTGCAGATGGCTCCTACACTCAAGCTTCTTACTGCTCTTAGATTTTGACGAAGAGTCAAAATTACCAACACATATAAACAGGAGCACATTAGATCAATGTGTCAGTATAGTAGGTACACTTCTCTTCTAGGCACCATACATACACACATAGGAACTAAATTTGGTCTGAACAAACTAATAAGATTTAGAATGTGGTTATCACTGCAAATCAGGACAGTTTACTAAGAGCTATATAAATAACCTTTACAGAAAATAGACAAGAATGATATCCATCAAAGATAAATATATTAGGATTCTAATTGTCAAAAACAACTCAAATTATTCTTAAGGGCTCAGAACAAAAGCTATGTTTATAGCTGGCTTACCCTGATGATAGAAGATTCTTTTTGTTAATACATTATTAATGTAGCTAATGAACTTAAATAATTAATAGAAATCGTGTAGTTATTACAGGAATCCTACATCCCAAAACACAAGCAATGGGTGCAGTTTTTAAAATCTAAAAATAACAGCTGGTCAAATTTCTAGGTTATATAGTAGCCTATCACATCCATTATAACACTGTTAATACCAATCTGCCCACTTTTAAGAAAATACAAAATCAAAGAAAATAAATATAAACTTAAAGTTCTACTCAAAAATTAATGTTTAAATAAGAATCATATTTTCCTATATAGGAAAGGTCTAATATCTCAAATAGCACATGAGTAAAAGAACTTGGATCCTACAAAACAAAGGTTTTCAATTTGCAAAATATGTTATAAGTAAATTAAAGCAGATTCAAATTATAACTATAATGACCACTTCAGCCACATGCATCCTGATGTGATTTCTTAACTATGGGAAAGAGAACTAACTGCAACAACTGATATGGAATATTCACAAAACTTGTAGAATTGTGTCAATTTGTGAATATCATCTATTTTCATAATTTCATAACAAAAAACAAAAAGGTACCAAACTGGTTCTAAGACATGATGTAAAAGTAGCATAATACATATTGTAACAGAGGAAATAAAAATTATTTTGATGCTATTTAATTAAACAAATTTTTGTCAACCGTCTTTGACAGGATTTAAAGATTCAAAGATGATGACTAAAATGTTTTGCCTGCTCTGAAAGGATATACACTTTGACTTTTATCAACCAGAGATGCTCTTTGCTTCAATTTTACGTAACTGAGTTTGAACAGGCAGAAGGTCTCAAACTCCATTTCTACCCTTAGCATTCTCTCTGCCACAGCCTCCAACATATATGGGCTGGAAATGAACTTTGGGTCAATCCCACTGGATATCTTTAGGAAAGAACTGATAGAAATCAAACGTCCTTTTTAAATCTGGGCTCCCTTACCTATTCCAGTGTAAAATTAGGACTCTTCATAATGTTTTAGGGTCTGCTAGGAAAATCTGAAACTTAAAAAAGAACAAGCTACCAACATCTTATACCTTTTTATTTAGATCATATCTTATTTAAAAAAGAAATAGCTTGGAAATAGCTTCCAATAGATTGGAAATGAGGCAGCCAGCAATATCTTGAATCAGAGAGATTACTTTATAAAACAAAAGAATAAGCAAGCAATATGCAATGAAAGCTTCTTTAAATGCTCTGGGACCAAAGCTCATTTTGACAAAGCCATCTTTTCCAGGTGATGTCGCCACTGGGGAGGCTCAGGCAGGCCCTTCAGTATGGACAGAAGCAAAAGCAGAAAGCTATGTCAGATGGGGGTCCTTAGCTGAGATAGTCCTCAGCCCAATGTCAGTGAAGGCAGGGCTACATCATTAGGGCTTCATGGTCATAGCAAACTAGTGACTTAAATGGGACTTGGTCCTTAAAAAGGCAACAACACCAGGGAACCTCCCACAGAGGAAAAATGGAGAAAGCAAGTGCCTAGTTGACAAAACCTGAATCCCTGATTGCTCCCCTAAGATTCAGTATTATTTTACTTAAAGATGTTTCAGTACCCATCTCACCGATAAGTGTTATGGTATTATTTTGAGCTTAGGTTAAGAAAAATGCGTTTAAACACCTTTATATTTAGTTGCAAGCACCACAATAAATAAGCAGTTGCCACCCAAGTAGAAGTAAGATTTTCTTTTAGGTTTTGTTTGTTTGTTTGTTTGTTTTTCACTTACCCCTTCACCAAGCTCTAAAAGTGGAACAGGTTTACATTTGCAACTTGAAACAACAATTTTGTCGCCACTGGAAGATGCTGTCACTAGGAAGTTATCTAAAGGAAGAGTTATGGAGCATAAAACAATCCATGAGCATCTCTAGCACTAGACTGTTAATACGAGAATTGTGATAATAAAAGCAAGCACACTAACCTAAGCAGAAAAGCAAATGAGCATCGCTTATACATTAGCTTTCAAAAATGGCTCAGTTTACTACTTACTAAGCCTCTTCACTACCACCACAGGGAAGAACTATCCTTTCTGGCTCTGCTATCACTTGAAAGCTATGTAACCCATGTGAAACACTACTCCATTTTCAAAGAGTAAGCCAGAAGGTCTAATTTTATACTTCAAGAATGAAAGCATAATAAAAGCACCATCAGCATATATGAATCAGCCTTTTCGTCTATAAACACTGTTCAGGACAGTTTTTAACACAGTGCTTGGTACCCATTTAAGTTAGGAAGCAAATATCTATATTAGTCTCCTATTTGTCCACTAAAAAAATAAAAGCTGGTATTTTCTCACAACTAGAATTTTTGTGATAGAATGTTTCAATCTTAAATATATTAAGAATAAATATTACAGTAAGTATAGCAAATATAAATAAATGTGGTTAAATAGCAACTATGTTATGGAAGAGTTCTATTTTAAATTAAATTTTAAATTATTTAAAATTTAATATAATTACATTTTTAAAATTTTTACTTTAAATAAATTTAAAATTATATTTACCTTATTTTATGTGGAACAATCAGTAAAAACAAAGCAATGTATTTTAAAACTAAAATAATTAAATACAATATAACCGAGAACAAGAGTTCCATTTTGAAAGTCCTAACACATTAAAATATCAGAAGTTTAAATTAATGCTTTTAAACAAGCAAAGTTCTAATTGCATTACTTTTGGACGATTTCTGTAACATTCCTATATTTTGTGAACAGACCGTGGGTTGTGATTTTATGATACATGATGATTTAAACAAAATCATTTCCACCTACATATTACAGCACTGAGGAAAATATATCATTTCTCTTTATTTGGCTTCTTCCTTGTTTACTGCTACTTTTCTCCTTACAATATAAAAATGAAAAAAAAAACCAGAAAGATAATGAGAGGGTAAAATAGTAACCTCTTGTATTTCTCACGTAGTTTTACAAGTCATGAGAAAGTGAGGAACATTATCTCAAGGACCAAAAGCATAGAACACTGATCTCCCTGGCACGTCACCATGAACTGCGCCTTTGGAACCCATGCGAAGTGGCCCCCAAGTTTCTGAGTGTGGGAAGTCCTCGTTCATCAATAACTAACCTCCATGGAAGGGATCAAAGCTTCATTAGGAATAAGATTAGATGAAGGCTCTCAGTGCACATCTACTGCACAGGAAAACCACACAGAAATAAGACCAGTTTCCAAGTCATACGATACCTCTTCATAGTCACAACAGTTTTATTCACAGACCATTAAATGGTTTGTCAGTAAATGCCAACGGTTACTAAAACTCCCTGGAATACAATAAACCAAAAATAATACATCTTACTAAGTAATGCTATTTTTCTCTAATGCAGTAACAGAGAAAAATTAACCTCTGAACATAATAAAAATCCAGTGATAGAGAAGCAACCTCACGTATTTGTCCCTCTTTAAAAACAGTTCCCCCCACTACACTTCTGGAGAGTACTTCAAACATGTAGTCACTGCACCATGAGTTTGATTAATAGAGCACTGAAGTAATTAACTTTGCTACCATAATACAAATTCAAGGAATGATGAAGTAAATTTAATTCAATAAGAAAAACCATCATTTTTGTTATATATTTGCATTAACAATTAGATTGAACATGAAAACTCCTAATGGTTTTGTTTATGAATCAATCACATTTTCATCAAGAAGCAGAATATTAATACTTTGGTATTGATAAGATCAGACATGGAAAAACCTAATTTGCTGTTTAAGAAACTATATGTAGGAGTTTGACAAAAGAATGACAATTTTTAACATAGCAATGCATACAAAAGGTGATGAGTACTTTTTGACAATAGTGGTTCTCAGCTAGAGGCTACTGGCATTTGGTGGGAAGAGGCCAGAAAGGATTCTAAACACCCTCTAATGCACAAGACAGGCCCCATAACAAAGAATCACCTGGCCCAAAATGCCAATAGTGTGAGGGGCTGAGGAATCCTGATTTCTAAGCTTCACTGCCTCATTTATTTTATCCACATATCGGAGTTTACTAAGACAAGGAGGGTGTGGATCAGAAACAGAGAAAGCTTCGAAAAATTCAGTAACTTCTCTGAATATTTGGGAAATGAGACTATTTTTGTCATAGATAGAAAGGGAGAAAAATACAAGAATATATCTGTAAGATGGGGATGTAGGTCAATTTTGATTTTTATCTCCTCACCCAAGCTTCGTTTCTGTCTTTGAGTTCTATCATTAATTTCCAGACAAGAACCACAAATATTCAAACAGATTCAAAAACTCATTCCAAAACCTTTCAGAATTTTTCCCATCATTACCTACCTTATTCTATTTGATTCAATAACAAACTCTAAATAACAAAACG